CCCCCCCCCGCCCCCCCCACCATCCGAATCCTTTTGGTTGGGGTTTGGGATCAGCCTGCAGTTGTCGGGTCCCGGCGCGCCGTAATCGGGGACGCCGTCGTTGTCGTCGTCGCCATCGCAGTCGTCGCCGACGCCGTCGTTGTCCGAGTCCAGCTGGGAGCTGTTGGGCACCTGGGCGCAGTTGTCCTTGCTGTCCTGATGGCCGTCGCCGTCGCTGTGGGGTTGGGGAGGGGGGTGGGGGGGTCAGAACGGCGCCGCGGACCCCAAAAAGACGCCCTGTAGGTGGGGGTCCTCCAAGCTGACCCTAAAAGCTGCCCTATAGGTGGGGGTTGTTCAGCTGGACACCAAAAGCCACCCCATAGATGGGGGTTGTCCAACCTGACCCTAAAAGCCACCCCATAGATGGGGGTCCACCAAGCTGACCCTAAAAGCGGCCCCATAGATGGGGGTTGTTCAACTGGACCCCAAAAGCCACCCCATAGATGGGGGTCCTTCAACCTGACCCTAAAAGAGGCCCCATATATGGGGGTCGGCCTGTCTGATCCCAAAATCCATCCCATAGATGAGGGTCCTCTGGCTTGACCCCAAAATCCACCCCATAGATGAGGGTCCACCAACCTGACCCTAAAAGCCGCCCCATAGATGGGGGTTGTTCAACTGGACACCAAAAGCCGCCCCATAGGTGGGGGTCCTCCAACCTGACCCCAAAATCCACCCCATAGATGGGGCTCATCCAGCCCGATCCCAAAAGCCACCCCATAGATGGGGGTCCTTCAGCCTGACCCTAAAAGTCACCCCATAGGTGGGGGTCCACCAAGCTGACCCTAAAAGCCACCCCATAGGTGGGGGTCGGCCGGTCCAATCCCAAAAGTCACCCCATAGATGGGGGTTGTTCAACCTGACCCTAAAAGCCGCCCCATAGATGGGGGTTGTTCAACTGGACCCCAAAAAGCCACCCCATAGATGGGGGTTGTCCAACCTGACCCTAAAAGCCACCCCATAGATGAGGGTCCACCAAGCTGACCCTAAAAGCAGCCCCATAGATGGGGGTCCTCCAACCTGACCCTAACAGTCACCCCATAGATGAGGGTCCTCTGGCTTGACCCCAAAAGCCACCCCATAGATGGGGGTCCACCAACCTGACCCTAAAAGTCACCCCATAGGTGGGGGTCCTTTGGCCCAACCCCAAAAGCCGCCCCATAGGTGGGGGTTGTTCAACTGCACACCAAAATCCATCCCATAGATGAGGGTCGTCTGGCTTGACCCCAAAAGCCACCCCATAGATGGGGGTCCTCCAACCTGACCCTAAAAGCCACCTCATAGATGGGGGTCGTCCAGCTGGACCCCAAAATCCACCCCATAGGTGGGGGTCCACCAACCTGACCCTAAAAGCCGCCCCATAGGTGGGGGTTGTTCAGCTGGACCCCAAAAGTCACCCCATAGATGGGGGTCGTCTGGCCCGACCCCAAACCCACCCCATAGATGGGGGTCCTGCAGCCCCCCAGCCCCACACCTGTCCTCGTTGGTGTCACACGTGTCCCCCACCAGGTCGCTGTCAGCGTCGGTCTGGAGGAGAAAAAACCCCACAGTTATGGGGCACAGAGCCTGACCCACACCTATGGGGCACACAGCACAAACCCCACAGCTATGGGGCAGGACTGTGCTCATCTCTGACCCCAAATCCCACAGCTATGGGGCACACAGCACAAACCCCACAGATATGGGGCACGGAGCACAAACCCACAGATATGGGGCAGCACCCAAACCCCACAGCTATGGGGCAGGGCTCTGCTCATCCCTGACCCCAAACCCCACAGCTATGGGGCAGAGCTCTGCTCATCCCTGACCCCAATCCCCCCATCTATGGGGCAGGGTCCCACACACCCCTGACCCCAAATCCCCCCCATGGGGTACAGACCTGCA